TTTAAGATATGTGGATGGAATTTTACTTAAATTCTTATTTTCTTCATTGGATCGGAATAGTTTAATTGCCCATTTGGCTCGATTAGCTTTTATACAGGCTTGAAAATCCGGCAGTTTTAATCCTCCTAACTYATAATCGCCAATTAACGTACTGTGTTTGATTTTTGGTTTTTTTCCATTCCATATGAAATTTTGTACTGTACTCTCTATTATCTTAACAAAATCTTCTGAAACATGAAGCAYGGAACAAACGTAGAGTAATTTAGGCAGCGCGAGTGACCTCAAAACTTGGATTTTACCATAAAGTGTTAGGTTTCTTGTCTTCCATAACGATAAAATTGTCTGAAAATTAGTGAATATCCGTTTAAAATTTTGTTCATATCTACACTTATCATTATACGAGAAGTATATACCCAGTATTTTTATCCCTTCTTGATAWATGTATCGACGATCAATGTATTTCTTAGTAAAATATGGTAACTTCTTTCTTGACATCTTCTTGAAACCAGCAATTATCCTAAATACTGGTAACTACCAAACGCATAAGTTGATAAATAACTAAATGAATATCAATGCATTTTTAATATTTTTATGAAATCCTGGTCAGAAAGAGGGGAGGGAGAGGTGGTGCAAGCGTGCCCTTTGAAACACCCCTAGATCTGCCCTAAAAAGCACTAACCCTTGAAAATTGTTCGTGTCCCCAGCCCGGCCAAGGTCAAGGGTGCTGGTGCTAGTCAATTTGGCTTTGATAGCTCCTGGAAACCGAACCGAGAGGAAATCACTAAAAGAACACTAAACTTCCCTTCAGCTGATAATATTAATGATGTTGTCATGGCGACGCATGATACTAATGGTACTGGCCCAGACGAGCCGGGATTAACCAATCAGATGCAGTTTTCTTCTTCGTGTGCGGTACCAAACAGAACTTCAAATATGCCTATTTCAATGACATGATAGCTGATTGATACCTTTTATGGAATATATTAACTCTGATCATAGGATATGAAATGCTCTGGAGCACTACTTCAAACAAATGACCTCTATTTGATCTGAMACAACATACTTCTTATACGTTATACAGAGTATTCACGAATTCTACTGGGTGGTGAAATACTTTGAAATTTCTTTAATTGATAGCTTAACCTGAACACATGCAAGAATATCTTTTGAATACATTGGTATTTATTGCTCCGGACTGATTCTCAAATGACACGTTYAGTTTGGATCGCCTTAATCACATTCTGAATGCATCAAAATTCTTCCATCAGCCTAAAATGATGAAATCATGGCAACATTTAAATTCCATGTACTCATTAGAGTGCTTCATACTTGGCTCATCTAAAGCACTTCCATGTTAATGCTGATCAAATAAGGTTAAAGGTCTTGCTACAGATTCTTACTTCTGGTTCAGAACGAGAATTTGAAATTTCTGGGTGATGATCCACAAAGTCATCAACCGTCACATTATCAAAGCTGTGTTCCAAAACGTGGGACATTATTTGGTTGGTACAAAAGGCAACCAAAGCATGAGTGTCTAAACGGGATTATAAGGTGTAACACAAGCTGGTGAGTGAAAGGCATACTATACATGAGGGGTACAATGAATGGGTCCATATTCCAGTGGTACTCTCCTACATGGCTATTTGTTGGAAGAACAATATAATTGAACCAGTCGAGTTCAAGCACCTTGGATGACAACGAATCTTTAAGGAAGTCAAGTAAAATGGGATTTTTATTAATTTTCTTCATTAGGCAAAGACTAATCAGGTTTTAATAGTGATAATTTTCCTTAAATATATTAAGTTATCATGTACCAAATTGTTAGCCGAAATCTTCACATTTTTGCTATTTCTCTTCACCATCCGTCTAATTTCATAAAGGCTTGGCAGGAGTGATGCTCACAGCATTGGTATGTTCAAGGAATGTCATGTAGCAACAAAGCTATGAATTAAAGAAAGTTACTCAATTCTGTCCAGCGGTATACCAAATTAATCAAATTTCAGTGGCTGAGAACTTCATGCCATTGCCAGCAACATTCCAGGTAAAACGTGTTGCGTTCAACAGTCGCATTGTCTGTCCAGGATTCTCAGCTTGGATATCCAATATTTTGAGTGCCTAAGCTTACAATCATTACTATTAATTACATTTTCACAGTCCTAGAAGCCAATCAGCGAACATCCATGACTTGATATATCCTTGCTTTATTTCTTTCACTCCAGAAAAAAAGCGTTTTGTCTCAAAAATCAAAACTCACGAAAGAAAAAGTCCAAAAATGTTTTTGGTCATTGGTTGAAAATAATTTGGTTTTGAAGAGAGAATAGGAAATTTGGATTTTGAAAAAAACAAAAAAACATTGCGCGAATAGATTCGGAATCGACTGAATTGGTAACGCACTAAACATATTGAATGTCTAAGCTTTTCTTACTTTCTTTTTTTCTATTCTTTTTCCTTGTGATGATATTTTTTTTACATGAGAGGACATATTTAAGTCAAATGCAGGAAATTGTCAAAACCTTTTWAAACGTTTTTCTAACTATTCAATGAAAATTTTGTTGAAATTGAACGATATGCTAACTTTACAAATAGATGTTTGTATATGCTGAGCCATTGAACCAGTCAAAACTTTTGACATTTCCTCATCGTATGTCAAACCTCGGAAATCTTATTGGTTGTTTCCTTCCAAGTATGAAATCTGATGAACTCCAATACAAGACCTTTACTTGCAATTTTTTAGTCTTTTACGCAGCATATCCTAGAAATACTTAAAAATATATAATTTTTTAAAATTTTGCTATCCATTTTTAATTGCAATMCATTATTTATTTTATTTTATTTTATTGAATTTGCTTTCACTGCGGAGTAGACCTTTTTACAGATACAGTGGCCATCTGAAATTTAATATTGTTTTAATAAGACATCACTAGATGCTGAGAGGGCAACTGTCAGGCTGTCTTTATATTCATTACACYTTTCAAAGAGAAGTACATCTAGAAAGCAATAAAATTTGCTGGTAGGCAACTATTTGAAAATGTAATAGACTTGCACAGCTGTGAGGTGTCTTTTTATTTAACTTTACACTTTTCAGTGAGAAGCACATCTAAAATAATTTTAATTTTAGTTTTGCTGGTAGTTGCAACGATATTAAAAACACCAAGAATATTATTTGAAAACATGACCCCACCACTCTATGCTTTGTTTTATAAATTTTCTATCTTTGGCTCTTGGCATCACATCATTCAAGATGGCTGCGGTATTAGTAAAAAGTTCTATTCATAAAAGGAAACCCATAAAAGCCTTCATAAGTCTGATTTTATATCCCTAGATTAGAAAAGAGAATATATCAGCAGATTATTGGGAGAAGGGTATGAAAGTCTTCGTCTTTCATGATTCTTAACTTAAGAAAATAATGATTATTTCCAAAAGTATTTGATATTTATCTGAAATTTTTAGTGTTTTCCATCTTATTTGTGCTGGCACATTGCATTGATTATTCCTTATAAATTGATATTAATGGTCAATGTAATTTAAAGTAATTCTTTGGGTTTACAGACGATTTGGAGCAGAAAACAGTTTATTGCACTCAAATGAATTTCTATTTAAACCAATGGAAATGAACAAATAGACAAAGAATTCACATCATCCAATAACARCAACGATACTAGGACGCTTAAAGTGGTTGGATTTTTATAGTTTTCCCCTGTATTTAAATCAAATTTAACATTATACTTTTTTACTTAATTTCTTTGTGTTCTTTTCCTGCTTAATTGTTGTTTAACTTAGAAGGTCAACAGGTTTAAAATAACTAAAGATTTGAATTTATTCCAGTAACRGCCGTTTCATAATTGGCTTTATTATAACGTATTAACAGCAACGTGAAGTGTGATGTAAATTGCGTCATTAATACTCAACCACCTGTCAATCACGAAGCATTAAAATAATTAAGCTAGTTCTCCTTCAATGCCATTAAAACAAAGACGTCCTGGGATAGGTGACAAGGCAGCTTCCCATCATCCCCCCATCTGCTCACTTAATGCAAATATTTTGGCAAGTATGGTGGCACTGTGTTTACAAACTGATGACAGATGTAGCACCAAAGTAAGCAAACGTATTATCTATCTTATCTTATCTTACTATCAATCACGACTTTTTGAAGTTGACTTGGGTGAAATAGGACATTTGCATGATGGCATTATTTGACTCCCACTTCCATAATGCTTGGCAAATTCTTATTTTAATTTGTATTCSCTTGTGAGAATAGTAACAATTAGTGCTAATTAACTKAAARAAAGAAAGTCTGCAAGGGAGTCTGGTAGTGGAGGTYAATGAGAGACCATCATGCAAACGTCCTAATGATATACAACTAGCAACTGTTAAAGTCAAAACATGTCAAAAGTCCTTACAATGTCATTTTTACTATTTCTATGGCCTGAAACCAGAAATCTAGATATATATACCAAGCTTACAGACTTTAATTCCCCCCTCCAGTCAAAACTCCGATATTACAGGAAGAGACATCTATTAATAGTAAAGAATYGCCTTGGTATTCTAAAAGGAGCAGAGGAACACAAAGACAAGATAATTAAACAAGTATAACATTCATTTCATTCAAATATTAGAGAGGGAAAACTATAAAAATCAGTTTAGGTGTCTTAGTGTTCTCGAACACAGTAATATTGGAAATTAATTGAGAGCTGAACTGTATCCTGCTCACAAAATCAGATGAGAATATCTGTCTGTAGGTGGGTTTACCTGTGCTTTAGAGAATTTAAAATGCTGTAGAAAATAATATTTTTGCTAAATATAGTGTAAGAAATAAATGCTCTGATAAAAAATTACGAGGAAATGATGTCACTTTTCAGTTTTTAAATTAATAACATACTTCTGGCTGTCTGACAATGACCTCCATTATAGCAATTATCATTGCCATAATTTTATAGTGCTTGTTCAAACCAAGTGAAATAAGATCTTCACAGGCAAAATTGCAAGATGTAGACCCATAATTCCATGCTAGAGATCTCGGTAATATTTCTCTTTTAAACACTAAAAAGAAGAAAATAGCATTCTAATCATGCATTTTGATAGTATCTATTGTAAGTTAATCTTAATTATGCACTCCCTGTATGAACAAGTGCKTACGCATACAAATAAAATAAAAATGACGCATAACACAGGAGCTAAATATGACAATAGGAAAATATTTATTGACAACGGTTCTCCAAGAAAAATTAAAATAGCCATTTTCAATCTTTGGAATATAGAACTCCTGGCTCGGTTTTTTCAACTTTCTAGAAAAGTTTGGTTAAGAATGCCATGTCTATAGCAGAATAGGTCTCTTTAGCTTGATGATAATGTTCTCCAATTTTTAGATCATGTTTTATTCTGATGATGATGATGACTTTATTTSAAGTGGGATAAGACATTGAGGCTCRGGTCAAACATTGAACTCACATGAGCCAAATGGATAACAAAGCGGTCTTCCTTAATGCCATTAGGCTCGGCTCATGTGAAGTTCAACGTTTGGTCTAACTTACCAGAGTTATCTAAYCTTTGTATAAATCATGAATAATTAATGAGCATTCAAGTCAGTCCAATTTCAGAAATCGGGTCACATAAAAATATCACRTCATCCTGATACAAACGCAAAATGCTAATTAGATGCAACTACTAGTGGATGCATACTGTTCTTATACAGCACTTGTGATTGTATCTAGTTTACAACATTCGCATCCTTGTCGTATCAGCTATACAATCACTCACCATGACCCTGTTATTCTCTTGAGAATTAGATTCTTTGTTTGAGTTGTATGTATATTAATGTAGCCTTCTCATATGCAACCGTTAAACAAAAAAGATTTATATTCTAGGGAATAACRCATGGTTTAAAATAGGGAAAAACATGAATTCCAAGCTATTGAAGGTGCCTTGGATGAAAATGCCCCAATTTTTAAAAGTCTGAATAATTGAAGTATTTCGAGGATAATATGACTCAATTATAATTATGAAAATCAGATTAGTGAAAATTTCAGCGTGGGAGCCTCTCACTGTTGAGATATTTTGGGTTAAATGGGAAAAGAACAATAGGGTTGAGTAAATGACGTCATTTACTCAAAATTTAGGGAACGTTCATTTTTTATCAGGGAGGGGGGCCCGGTGGAAATCTGGGGGGCATGTCAAAAAATTCGGCTTATAGAGGGGGGCACATGTAGAAGAATCAATGTCAAAAGGGGGGGAATTCAGGTATAGAACATGAAGGGGGCAGCAGATGTCAACAGCAATATAGAGGGGGGCTAGTTTTTCTTGTATGGGCTCTTGCTGGAATTCCACCCCCTCCACCTCCCCTCCCTGTTAAAAAATGAACGGTCCCTTAGATGCTGAATGAAATTGATAATTTTTTCCCGCCACTTTTGATTGTGAAGGAAACGTGTTGCTTGGCTACTATCTGGGCCATATAGATAAGTTTAAACAAGTTTCAAGTCATTTTCAATTTTCATTCATTTTCATCCAAGTTCCCCTTTAAAGAGGTCTATTTGTAGGAATGATATCTAGATTACTAAGCCACTTGAAGTGTTGGYAGGTATTGCCTCAGAAAGATGGGAAGAAAATAGAGAGCACCTTTTGTTTTCTGACCAGGAATGGATTGAAGATATTTATCATTAGTAATTTATGAATTATTTAAGTATCAGTTATAATCTCACATGTCAATCTTTGTCTTTTAGTAATCTTAGTATGTGAGTTATTTTAGGGTGCGAATGGTCAATAAAGTGGAATACACCATGTTTTAGTTCTTTTTATTCTCTAATAAAACTCGATAGATGAAGGGACCGTGAGAGGGATAATAATAATAACAAGGATAATAATAATAAACACAAGACCTAGGCCCCGTCCACACGTATCCGGAAATTTTCGTATCCGCAAATAYTTTTTTACGGATACSGGTTGCGTCTACACGTGTCCGCAAATTTTTGTGTCTGTATCTGCAAATTTTACGAAAACGGATACGTGTGGACGGTGAAAACGATTTGAATACGCTGCGTGTGGACGMAWACATTTTCGTATCCGCAAAAAATAATTTAATTGCGGATACAAAAATTTCCGGATACGTGTGGAYGGGGCCCTAGTCTAATCAATTAACACTGGTTTGCATTGGAAAATTAGTGTAAAAATTAATATTATAATGTGCATAAATAGGACAATAACATGACTTTTGGAGGGCATATTGTTTATTTGTGGCCCGAGTAGCATCATTTGCGCCCGAGCGTAGCCAGGGTGCAAATGTTGCTGCAAGGGCCACAAATGAACAATATGCTCGACCAAAGTCATGTTATTATTATCATCAATATACTAAGCCAACTTAAGCAAATTTTCAAAGTTGCCGTACGAGATTTTTGGAGTTGAATYTTTGGTGGTCTGCAAACGTATTTGCGGCCCGCCAAAATCCATTGTCGCCCGCTGGGCGCGCGTTTTCAAGAGAGCAGTTTTTTATTTGGCCTTGTATATTGATGGTAATGAGTGATATGATATTAACACATTCTAAGAAGCCTGGGTTTTGGCTTCCATCAATCAAAACATTCTAAGACCATCGAAATTCGATTGACAGAAACCAAAAAGCTGAATTATATTGTCTGGGTTGGAAAAGTTTTAAAGTGGGCGAAATGCTTATTTAAATTAATTTAATGACAGGTTGCCTGTTTCACCTATAGAAATGAAATGGAAATTGCATACTTCAAATTGGGCTTCGATTTAAATCTTCATTTGGGATTGAATTATTTTAAACCGCTAGCTACAAGCTTAGGTAGAGTGAAAACACTAAATCCCTGAAACAAAATCGAATTGTAGTATCCAATCAGAATCTATCATGTAATTATAAAATAACGATTCTTTAAAATGTTATGATTGTCAGCACGTGACGCTATCCCGGGGGGGTACTCCCATATATGAACTATACGGGGATTATCCGCTGAACAGGGTATGGTTTTTCGAGCTTCTTGTCATAAACAGGGTATGCAATTTCACTCAAGGTCCAAATTCTTCCTGAGTTTCTTGTCATATTCAGGATTTCTACTTTCGTATTGACTGAAACTGGTTACCATGGTCGTAAAAAAACAATACGTGAGATAACATGATAATTGAAACAGGAACTCAGTGCAATTAATCATATCTTTTGTCATAAACAGGGTCTACAAATACGATTTTTTTTGTCATAAACAGGGTACCCCTTTCAGAATCCCAGCGGAACACCCCTACCCAAATTCTGGCGGAGTACCCCCCGGGGACGCTATCTGGTAATGAGTTCCATTCCTTAATAAATAAATAGCTTGATGCGTTTTGCCCCCAATTAGTTCTGCATTTAGGCAGACGCCTAAAAAGACTACTTCTAGTATTATAGTTATGTAGCTCACTAGAGCGAGAATTATTGAAACGAAAGTCAATAAGGCCATTTAGCGCTTTGAAAACAAAACAACAACAGTGAAAACGTCTTCTAAATTCAAGGGACTGCCATCCTAAAACCTCTAAAGCTGAGGAACTAGACGAACTTACAGGTAAATTGAGAATTATCTTTGCTGCCTTACTTTGTTGAACTTGCAGCCTATTCCGGCATAAAAGTTATATTAGACCTGTCACCCCAGACAACATCCCCATAATCTAGTATGGGTAAAATTAGAGTATTGCGAAACAATTTTTCCATATGGAGTGTTTGGAATTTGATGTGAGTGTTTGGAATTCAGTGTGAGTGTTTGGAATTTGATGTGAGTGTTTGGAATTCAGTGTGAGTGTTTGGAATTTGACGTGAGTGTTTGGAATTCGGTGTGAGTGTTTGGAATTCGGTGTGAGTGTTTGGAATTCGGTGTGCGTGTTTGGAATTCGGTGTGAGTGTTTGGAATTGGGTGTGAGTGTTTGGAATTCGGTGTGATTGTTTGGAATTCGGTGTGAGTATTTGAAACATGCGGTGTGAGCGGTGGGACAGTGTTTGGAATTCGGTGCGAGCGTTTCGAATTTGGTGTGGAGTTTGGAATTCGGTGTGCACTTGTGGGCCACCGTATTAAACTGTGGAATAATACATGAGTCACGTATATTTTCTAGTATACACCCAACCCTTTAGGGGAGTGTGAATACATAAAAAATGCAAGTAGCAGGAGGGATATTTCACATTTAATATATTTCAAGAAATATTTGAACTTCTAAATTTTGGTTTATGTAGTTGAGAAATGCTTCCACAAATACATTCATCTACTCATTTGTAGACTACTCACTTCATGTAAAAAAATTACTAACCTATTAATTGAATCCAAAATAAAGATCAAAATATAATTAAAATATAAAAACATATAAATGTGAATATCTGAAACTGTAGTAAAAAAATKTTACCCCTACGTGCAACATTTTAAACTTTTGTTTTGTATCAAAATTTAAGATGAACTGGGAAACCGATGCAGAAATTGCAGCTCAACGAAAATCAAGAAAAATGAAAAGGTAGATTAACATAATATCTTTCCGTTGCATGATAATATAGATRAACATGCAAAACATAATGTATAAACTTATAAAAAAGATATTCTCAAATGAGTAATTAGATATTCTTTCCATTAATTAAAATCATAACAACTCATCCAATGTCAAAAGTGTATTCGCTGTTTCCACATTTATAGTACACTCAACAAAATTTCTCGACTCTGATTGGTCGAGAGGAGTACAATTATAGCGTTAATTGTACTCCGTTGGAGTACCGAATTAAGTCGCTATGGCAACACGGCCAAAATAATGTCAAAACAATTATTTTCTATCATTTTGTACTTAAAGAACATAAATAAAATTTTAAAGCCGTAAGAACTAATCTTTTTTATGCATTTCAGTTGCGCGATGGACTGAAAATCGGCCGCCAAATAGATAAAGATGAACGGCGTCGCTTCGCATTTTTTACTGAAATTTTGTTGAGTGAACTATAAACAAAAAATCGCACGATCTT